GGCAGCTAACAACCATCCCTAACTCCAGTTCCGGGGGAATCCAACACCTTCTTCTGGCCTCCACAGGCACTGCATGACATGGGTGCACTTACATACATGCAGGCAATACACTCATATACATAAAATAAACATAATAAAGTTTAAAAAAAAAAGAAAATCACAAAGTTCAATAAATTTTTTTAATTATGTAAGAAAAAGTCAAGTCATGGGGCTGGAGAGAGGGCTCAGTAGTTAAGAATGTTTGTTGCCCGGCACAGTTGCACATGCCTTTAATTTCAGCACTCAGGAGGCAGAGGCAACGGATCTCTGTGAGTTCGAGGCCAGCCTGGTCTGCATAGCGAGTTCCAGAACAGCTGGGGCTACAGGGAGACCCTGTCTCAAAAAGACAAGAAAAAAAGAATGTTTGCTACTCTTCCAGAATATCTGAGTTTGGTTCCCAGCACCCACATCAGGGTGAACTCTTAAGTGCTTGTAACTCCAGTTCCTGGTAATCTGACACTATCTTCTGGCTTCTATAAGCACCTGCACGTGCACACACACACACACACACACACACACACACGGTCACACAGATAATTAAAATAAAAATGGTCAGTGAAAGCTTCTGATACACAAAATGACTTTTATTAAAGACTAAAATTCCTTATTAACATCATTCTTCTACAGCTTTGATTTTTTTGACATAACATTTCCTGGATCCACTGAAAATGCAAGGTGGTGCTATAAAAATGCATATTTATTTATAATATGCTTGTCTACTCTCCAGTAGAACTCAGCATCACTGCAAAGAAAGATTACACATAATTCCTATGTCCTTTGGGTCACCTGACCATTGATCTGATGCCTAACAAGATAACCCTTCATTAGCACTGTTACATTTCTTACATCAGATTTCTCTCTGCTCTAAGTTCTTTTGATGCAGAATGAGGAATGCACTTGTGATGGAATTCCCATAATTTCTATTTTTCTATCTCCCAAAACTTTGCTCCTGTGAACCTGTAAAAGATTCATATTGTTGAAGCCAAGCATGGTGGTGCATGCCTTTAATCCCAGCACTCAGAAGGCAGAGGCAGGTGGATCTCTGTGAGTTTGAGGCCAGCCTGGTCTACATAGATCCAGGTCATCTGGGGCTACAAGGAGACTCTGTCTCCAAAAAAAAAAAAAAAAAAAAAGATTCATATTGTCTGCAGTTTTCCCATATTTAACACATATATACTTTTTTCTAGCATACTGTGAGGCTTTTTACATCAGTTAAGGGATAAATATTAACAAAGGTTTTCCCATATTTACTGTCTTCATATAAGGTTTCTCCACAGTATGAACTCTGACAAAATTTTCATCATTTCTAAAGGTCTTCCATATCCACCAATCCATGAATTTTCCTCTCATAAAAGGCTTCTGATGTTGAATTAAGGAGCTGTGACTCAAATTTATAATGGCAAGTACTGCTTCAAGGAGTCTCTCTCTTACATGACTTTTCATAACTACAATTGCTCATATAAAGACTCTTCCATGCTTACCGCACCTTTGAGTTTCTCTGTATTATGTGTTCTTTGGTGGACTGTAAGATTTGAGCCTTTATTAAAAGCTTTCCCACATTCATTACATTTATATGGCTTTTCTCCAGTATGAATTCTCTGATGTACAGTAAGGTTTGAACTACAATTAAAGGTCTTCCCACATTTAATACACTCATAAGGTTTCTCTCCTGTATGAATTCTGTGATGCTGAAGCAGGGAGGATCTGTACCTGAAGTCTTTCCCACATATATTGCATTCATAAGGCTTCGATTTAATGTGATTTCTCAACTGCATATTCAGTGATTCAGGCTGGTTGAAGGACTGCCTACATTTCTGACATTCAAAGGGTTTTTCTTCATTATGAATATTCTGATGTTGACTAAGAAAAGAGAGCCTATTAAAAACTTTCAGACATTTGTTACACTCATACTGTTTCTCTGTTGTGTGAATTCTTTGATGTCTAGTAAGGTGTGAGCTACAGCAAAAAGCTTTTCTACATTCACTACATTCGTAAGGTTTTTCTCCGGTATGGATTTTCTGATGGTGAATGAGAGATGATCTATGAATGAAAGCCTTCCCACAAATTTGACACTCATATAGTTTTTCTTGAGTATGAATTCTCAGATGTTCAATGAGATGTGAAACACGACTGAAAGACTTTGCACAGTTCATACATTCATATGGTTTCTCTCCAGTGTGAGTGCTCCGATGATTAGTCAGGGATGAGATATGGCTAAAGGCCTTCCCACAGTCAATACATTTGTAGGGTTTCTCTCCACTGTGGCTTACCTGATGTCGAGTTAGGGACCAACCATGGCTAAATGTCTTCCCACACTCCTGACATTCATAGGGTTTTTCTCCTGTATGAATTCTCCAGTGGCGATTGAGAATTGATTGTTTGCCAAAGGTTTTTCCACACTCTCTGCATGTATAGATCTTCTCTCTATTGTAAGTCTGATGAAGGACAAGAGATTTGCTCTGGCTAAAGGCTGTCACACTTCCACTATAATTCAAAAGTGTCTTTTTGTCATCGGTTTGCTCACTTTCCTTAACTGACTTCTTTGGTAAGCTCTTTTTCAACACAAGTTTCTGTGATTTCCCTTTGGCAGAAATTCTCTGTGGTTCAGAGAGAGTAGACTTCAAATGGAAGATGTCGCTAAGTGTGCTGTATTTGTAAGCATGCTCCCCAGTGGGGTTTTTTCTCAAGGTGAGGCTCACTGGTCTGACATGGTCAACCTGACATCCATGCTTTTCGTCCAGATTCTCCACATATTTCCAGTCATTGTTAATGTTTGAACATTTATGACCTTGGTTTACCTTATTTTCTATTATTACTGTTTGGGATGAATCTTCATCATAAATATCATTTGTTGAGAATTCCTTACTTTCCCATCTTGATTCCCAATCTGAAATATACCGAAAAGGCAAAGTGCTTCTTTTTCTGTACTTTTTGAAATGAAACTTCAGTGGTGGAAGTAGGTAAACTAGGTATCAAAGACCCTACAAAACACATGGCTCTGACAAGTCATATATTCAATGATTTCTGAACACTCTTCACATGCAGCAGAGAATACAGACAATTCACAAGGGAAGACACAGACTATGAATAGGGAAAAGGATGAAATATGAACTATTTGTGAATATAGGCACAATATATGAAGGGAAAAAAATGAAACTATCAGGAAAAAAAATGTGGAAAGCATTTTGGATTCCAAGCCTATATCCCATGAAAGATCATTTTATCTTATAGTTTTCTCCATCTGTCAATTAATCTTAATTTGTCATGAGAATAACAGGCTTTATGTTATTAAATGGTTAGTGATAAAATTATGCAAATTTTGATCATCATGGTTCACAAAGACATAGGCTGTCAAAATTTATATAGTATCTGGGTGAAATCATATAACTTATTAGATTTTAGAAAATATTCCTAAAAATGTATTTTTATAAAGTACTAAACTTCCTTTAACACATTCATATATCACCTATGAAATTCAGCTTTAGAGGAAAAGTGATTTTCTTATCAATTGACAACTTTTACTTTAAAACCAACTAAGTTTATTTTTTTTAATGCTATTTTTGAGACAGGGTCTCCCTGCAGCCCCAACTGGCCTAGAACTTGCTATGGAGACCAGGCTGTCCTCAAACTCACAGAGATCCACCTGCCTCTGCCTCCCAAGTGCTGGGATTAAAGGCATGCGCCACCACGCCTGGCTCTAAGTTCATTTTTTTAAGTGAACTTAACAAAAAGCTAATTTGTCTTATTTTGTCACAAATAAAATAGAGATAATTATTATCATGGCAAATCCTCCTTTGATTAGATGACATGAGTTACAGATAATGATCTGGAATGGTAGAATGATCATTTTGAAATCTAAGCTAAGGATTCCTTAATGCCTTCACACTTACCACAAGCCTCTTTCACAAAGACCTTTGCCTGATTCACATGACTCACCTAGAAATATACCCTTTGACAGTTTTTTCTCCACCATCCAGGGTTCTTTTCCATCCTCCAGTAAAGTGATCACATAGGGTTTAGTTATGGCAAGACCTGCTTATAGGTAGAATACAGAATTTATTTACACTGTGATCCTCAAGGACGAGAGGCCACCACAACAGTGACTAAAGGACAGATCAAAGGGCAGTCATTAAAATGAGAAGATTAACTTCAAACAAGGCACAAGAATTTCACATTTTCTTGAGAACTAGACACACAAATTCAACCATTTACTTCGCAGGTTCTCCAACAATTCCTAGTGACAAAAGAGTTCCCCTTTTGTACTGGATAGCCTTACCTAGAGAGACCAGGCTCTCATAATTCTGGATCATCACATCCTTATATAAATCCCTCTGAGCAGAATCTAGCTGCATCCACTCTTCATGAGAGAAGTCTATAGCCACATCACTAAATGTCACCTGAAATAACAAAAATATTAGGTTCAACCAGATCCCAGGCCTTTTCTGAACACAGGGAAAGAATAAACACATATCAAGGAAACTATTATAAAGGAATACTCTTAGATATACTTAGAAATTTATAAATAGTACTCATTCACAGTATTTTTTTAAAATAACAATTTTTAAAGCTTAAATGTTCAATAATAGTTTCTGGGTTAATCAAATTAAAATATATGCATTTGAATGCCACAATTATTACATTTTATTTGTGAAATACACATTAACAGTGGCAAATTTTGGGGGGGGAGGGGGGTCTTTTTGAGACAGGGTCTCCCTGTAGCCCCAGCTGACCTGGAACTCCATATGTAGACCAGGCTGGCCTTGAATTCACAGAGATCACCTGCCTCTGCCTCCCAAGTGCTAGGATTAAAGGCATGCACCACTACACCTGGCCAAATATTTCATTCTAACAATGGTTGATTCAATGGTCTGCCACTTTTAAATTTTTTCTTCAATTTTTATATATACTATTTATTTATTTAGATTTTTGGATTTATTTTCTGTGTATGAGTGTTTCGCCTACATGTAAGACCACCCATGTTGTACAATACCCATGGAAACCAGAAGAAGGCATTGGATCAACCGGAACTGGAGTTACTAATGGTTGTCAGTTGCCTTTTGAGTGTTGGGAACCAAACCTGGGTCCCCTGGAAGAGCAGTCAGTACCCTAAACTGCTGAGCCATCTCTCAAGACCTTTTTATTTTTTTGAGATAGGGTCTCGTATATAGACCTGGCCTGGAACTAGTTTTATAGACCAGGCTAGCCACAGGCTCATAGAGATTCACTTGCTTCTGCTTTCTGAGTGCTGGGATTATATAGACCTGGCCTGGAACTAGTTTTATAGACCAGGCTAGCCACAGGCTCATAGAGATTCACTTGCTTCTGCTTTCTGAGTGCTGGGATTATATAGACCTGGCCTGGAACTAGTTTTATAGACCAGGCTAGCCACAGGCTCATAGAGATTCACTTGCTTCTGCTTTCTGAGTGCTGGGATTAAAGGCATTTGCCACAATGTCTAGGAGGTCTCTTAATTTTTTGATAATTTGTATGTATGTTCTCCAGTAACACTGGTTTTTCCTTTTTGTTTTCTTTTGGGTTTTGTTTAGGTTTAGTTTTTTGAGAGATGATCTCCTATTTAGCCCAAGCTGGCCTCAAATTCACAACCCTTCTGCCTCAGATTCCTAAATGCTGAGATTACAGGCATTTGCCACCACATCCAGGTGATCTTTAGCTTTAGAGAGAATTTTTTCCTCTGTTAGATGTTGGGGAAATATTTTCTTTAATATTTTATTATTTTCATTTTATGTGTGTGCGTGTATTGTCTGCATGTAGGGGAGAGCACCCATGTCATGCAATGTCCATGGAGGTCAGAAGAGGTGGCTGGATCCCCTGGAACTGGAGTTATGGACAGTTGTTAGCTGCCATGTGGGTGCTGGGATTTGAACCCAGGTCTTCTGCAAGAACAACCAGTGTTCTTAACCGCTGAGCCATCTCTCCAGCCCTGGAAATAATTTAAAAATCAATTTGCCAATGCAGATAATCCTCTCCATAAATTAAAAGAGAAAGCAAATAGTTTTATTCTTGAGTAAACATTAAACCGGCCTGATAAACATCACAGGCAATCTACTCAAATTAGAAAAGCAGAAAGAAATTTCATTATTTAAAAAGCCAGACAGAATTTATCCCATCTTCAAAATAAACAAAAAAATTACTGGGTTATGCTAGCTTTATCGTAACCCAAATTTTTTTCTTTTTCATCTTCCCCTACTTTCTACAGCTTTTTTGAGACAGTAGCCCATGCTGGCCTGGAATTCGCTATATGGACCAGGCTGGCCTCAAAGTCATAGGGATTCACCCACCTCTGCCTCCTGAGTACTGGAATTAAAGGTATATAGTCATATAGGTTTGGTTTTGTAGCCTTGGACAGCACATACATAAAACATTTCCACCAACACAGTGTTCTATTAGATGGCAAGAAACCAGATCACCTGATATAGCTTTGCTAGCCAAAGAGCAAACAACTTAAAATTCTAAACTCGCACACTGAGTTGTAATAAAAACAAAAAACCTGGCATGCAATTTAAAAGAATTCTATATCCAACTACAGAGATATTTGCACATCTATGTTCATTGCTGCTCTATTCCAAATAGGTAGAAAATAGAGTCAGTCTAGGTGTCCATCAACTGATGAATGGATAACGAAAAGGTGGTACATATACAGCAGAATTTTATTCAGCTACAAAGAAAAATGAAGTTATAAAATTTGCAGTAAAATGGATGGAACTAGAAAATATTATATTGAGGTGACCCAGGCTAAGAAAGACAAATGTCATATATTCTCTATCATATGTGGATCCTAGCTTTGAACTTTTAGATATATGTTTTTAAATTGAATGTGCTGGTAGAGGCCAGGAAGCTAGAAAGGACCCATTGAGGGAAGAGGCCTTAAAGGGGGTAAGGGGGACATTTCAAAACAGGTGATATGAAAGGGAGCAGATACTGGGAGCAGAAAGGCTTAAGTGTGGATGGCAGTGGGGGAGGAGGTTAACCAAAACTAGGAATGTATGACAAAGTCATATGGAAACCCACAATTTTGTAAATTAATTAGAAAACTGCAATAAAAAAAATGAGAGAGGTATCCTACACAGGTGGATGCTGTTCCCAGAAGTCACAGGTTCTTAAACAAAAATCCCAGTGCAAGCTGTGGGATACTGTCTTATATGCCGTTGGTCAAGGAAGTCTCAGAGACCTCCAAAAAATAGAGACTATTGCTACTGCTCTTGGATGCCTACAGAACTGGATGATGAAGACCCCATTGCTGAAGACACCACATACTCTGATTGTAAGACAAAAGGAAATCAGGCTGAAACTGAGCTGGAAGCTCCCTTTCTGATGACTGGTTTTCATGGTACCAGAGGTGTTATGTTGGCTGCTGTGGGAGAAATCGTCAACACTCTTATCCACCTGTGAACCCTGGGAGTTACAATACCAGTCTCCCAGGCAAATGTGCCCACTGGTACAAGAGTGGCAGCACTGTGATGGAGATAAACCAATCACTTTCTGATTGGATTCGAGGCCTGCTCCACAGGAAGGAATTCATGCCTGGTTCTGTAAAAAGCCCATGGTTGGGAGGTGACAAGTTTAGCAGGAAACCTACTACTGTTATTTTGCTAAATGGACATGTCAAAATGCCTTTGAAATATTTATGCTTATACCCATAGGTTAGTGCTGCTGTCAGCCTTGGTCAAAGCATCTGCTTGCAGTGGGCAATGGTTAATGCAGATTCAAAATGGTCAAAGTGCTAAGAATAAACCACTGTAGAGGGCTCAGCGCTAAATTGGACCTCTATATCACTCCTCCCCAGGCTCAGGGAGCACTGCAGAAGAGAGGATGGATGGAAAGCGTGTAAGCGCCAGAAGATGGACAGGAATGCTTCTTCTGGACACGATGTGGCTTGTTGCATCTGTGAACTCACAGCAGCAGTGGTTACCTTCACAGAGGGGCCTCTCTGTGGAGCTATAGGCAGTTAATGGTTGCTAGGGGAGGGAAATCACATTCCTCCGTGTTGTAACCACTCGTAAATTGCCCTTGCTCAAGTAAATTGACCTCATACCCATGCTCATGCAAGCAACTCTAATTAAAAAGTAGGACACACACACACACACACACACACACACACACACACACACACACAGGAAAGTAGGAGGTGAACCTGCTGGGAAGAGGAGGTTCAACAAAGTTAGGTTACAGACCCTCTAGCTGCCTTTCTCTCCCAGAAACCAGGCCATGACCCACTGCAGCACTCTCTCTGGGGCAGAGTTGATAAGAAGACCTGCTGAGCCCTTGCAGACCCCTCCCTCTTACAGCTTGAGCAAATGCAAGACAACCTTGAATGAAAGCTAGTCTTTATCAGCGCCTTCCTGTCTTCTGGAACATATATGCCAGGTCAGGCTAGGTCAGGTGGTACAAAGCTTGCCCACCCACCATGAAAACTTAGAGGAATCAAAACTGCTCTCTGTCTTACAGGGTTTCAAGGTAAGTCCCTCCTTCAAGGCCCTATTATGGCTCGGAATGGTCATGATGCCATCTCTCTCCTAATGCTTCCCTCTTTGGGGCCCCATCAAAGCTTTCTATGGTCCTGAGTCTGTAACTCTCCTAATCTCATCTGAAGGATAATTTCATGTCAGCTTCTTTCAGTGAACCTGCCTTCTTTTATAATGGGCAGAAGGAAATATGAGAGGATAATAGGGAGGGCAGGAATATAATCAAAGTACATTATACATGACACTGAAAGAATAACTATTAAAAAACCCGACTCAAGCTTGTGGAGACTGTTCTAGCAGAAGCCAGTACAGGGAAGTACTGAGAGGCAGACCGTACTTGGATCTCTGCTAGGACAGCCATCCTTTCCTGTAACAAAAGGAATCCAATCCAGTCCCTAAATGGATTTTGTCAGGTGAGAACTTGCATGAAAATCAAAGAAAGCACTCAAGAGCCCTGATTTTTTTCTTTCTTTCTTTCTTTCTTTCTTTCTTTCTCTCTCTCTCTCTCTCTCTCTCTCTCTCTCTCTCTCTCTCTTTCTTTCTTTCTTTTTGAGACAGGGTCTTCCTGTAGCCCCAGCTGTCCTGGAACTCACTATGTAGACCAGGCTGGCCTCAAACTCACAGAGATCCACCTCCCGCTGCCTCCCAAGTGCTGGGACTACAGGCGTGTGCTACCACGCCCAGCTAAGAGCCCAGATTTTTAAAAAGTGTTTCAGGAAGCCTGGAGTTGGGGCACAAGGCTGTAAGCAAGGGAGACTGAAGTAGGAGGATCATGAGTTTACCTCATCCTAACTCAATCCACCCTCCCCCGCATAAAAAGTTTTCAGTAATATTTGGAGATATAGTGACTTACCCAAGGCATTACTTTGCAATTTCCAAGTCAACACAGTTCTCTTTCCAGACTCCAGGCTTATAGAAGGGCCATGTCTAGAGAAAGGCAGGGCAAAGCAAAGGGAAAAAAACAGGCGTGTCTGTGACACCGAGATGGAAAAATACATAGATAATCCCCCTCTGGGGTTCTGATGTCTCCCTATGAACTAAGGGTGATTCTTGGCACGAAGTAACTATTTACTCAGTACCACCTGTGAGGAAAACGTACTATTTTGTATATAAAAACCAGATTTTGGGCTGGAGAGATGGCTCAGTGGTTAAGAACACTGACTGCTCTTGCTAAAGACCCGGGTTCGATTCCCAGCACCCACATGGCCGCTATGAACCATCCTTAACTCCAGTTCCAAGGGAATCCGAAATCCTCTTCTGACCTCTGCGGCATTGCACTGACAGGGGTGCGCTCTCATACATGCAGGCAATACACTCATACACATAAAAATAATTTTTAAAAAAATTTTGTCTTTTTGAAGCAGGGTCTCCCTGTAGCCCCAGCTGTCCTAGAACTCACCTATGTAGACCAGGCTGGCCTTGAACTCACAGAGATCCACCTGCCTCTGCCTCCTGAGTGCTGGGATTAAAGGCGTGCGCCACCACGCCCGGCT